ATTTTTATCGAAAGATGATAATACAGCAGCAATTGTAAATATATTTATATTCTATTTTCTATATATTTATTTCTTTCGCTTAAATATTGATATTTTTTCAGATTTTTTACGTGAGTTAAATTATTGGTCCTAAAGATAATACTAAGAAAACTGTATATAAAGTGCTGAAGAAACTTATTTTGAACACATTGGGCATCCGAAAAGATTCTCTTATTCTCGAGCGGCTGTAAATTTAAACTTTTCCAATGCTATTTCAATACAAAGAGAGTTATGCAGATCACTGTCTTTATTAATATTCGTCTTTCAGCATTTTGACAAAATTTTCCACTGATTTAGTATTTTTTCTTAGTCTTTTTCTTGTACTTTTTGTTTCTATTGACTTGGCGTCTATATATTTTTATGCAAGTTTTTTTTTTTTAAGAAATCTTATAAAAACTATTGCATTTTTAGGTGCCATTCTGGATAAAAGGCCAGAAACTAAAATCCCAGAGATTGATGCAGCAACTTCATTATGGCTAAAGCAAGCGCCTTGGCGTCGCCAAGATGACGGCAGTATGGTAAAAAGGACAAGAAAATAAGAAGACTATACTGATTCAAGATTATTATTTCTGCGAATTTTACTTGTTTTTTTTAAAGCAAAATTATTTATTAATTGAAATGTTTGAAAATGCACGTACTGGAATTTTATTTTGTCACTATATAAGGTGATTCAGGATTTCTGCAACAAACTCTGAGGAACGATAGGTCTCGAAAAAGGATCATCTTTTGTCAAGCAACTCATGTTCTCTGATGCGTCGTTTGGGAACTAATTGTTTTAAAATGTTACCTAAGACCGTCTGCGCGGTCGCGTAGCTCCTAAAGAGAGATTTTCTTAGTTTTCAGCAATTTCGGCAATTTCAAGTGCGATGGGCACACGAAACAAAATTGTTTTAGCTGATAAACGTTATTGTTTGTTATTGAGGTATAATCAGACTACAAAACTTTGTTGTAGGGATTTTGATTGGACCTTTCTTCGCGACAATATACTGACTTAAAGAAAAAACAAAAAATATGTGATCTTTTACATGTTTTTCAAACTCAATTTCCTGATAGAAAGCGTAAGGTGAAGAAAAAAACACTAACAGCGTTCGAAAAGGTTAAATTTCAGCTGTCCAATGCTTTTTTGCAGAATACTGTGCGTTGATTTTTTCACGCGTTACAAGCGATCAAAGTCAAAGTGACCACTTTTTATTCAAATCTCGATAACTCGGCCAAAAAAATCGCACAAAGCTTCACAACCTCTTCAATTAAAAAGAAAAGATCTCACTACAAGATAAAAGTAATAGGAATTCTCCACAATTTTTTGTACGCTAGATGTAGCGCAGCAAATTTGCATTAAAAATTTTTATTTTGACAGATCAAGCTTTATCATAGTGCCGTTTTTTTAAAAAAAAGGTAATTAAAATCGACAAAAGGCATTTAAAAGAAGAAGTTTCAAACTTTAAAATACGTTTTTAATTTTGTGTGTACGATGATTTTTCGCCGAGTTTCAATGGTTTGAAAATTGCCTAAATTTTTAGCATATTAAAAATGTTCCCTATTTTTTTTTTAGTAGTGTATATATGATACATGTTCAATAAATAAAATAAACGTTAAATCGTTAATACGGTTATCAAAGATGCTTGGGTGTACTTCGAAGCCTGCATTCACCTCCAATTTAAGTGACGACGTTATCAATTAGAAATGAAATAGATTGTAAAATTCACGTTTGATGTAAGGGTGTTATATTTATTATTGTAATACGCTGAAGATGACTCAAAGAGAGGGTCGAAACGTATATGCAAGTCTTTATATAATTAATTGTAATAAAGTAGATTGCACAAGAACAACTGTGCCTGATGGCTCTTATTGCTAAATTACGAAATATATTGATATATTTAAAATAATTAAAAAGCCAACCCCCAGCAGCACCATGTCCAAAATCGGGACATAAGACGTATTTTCGACTTTTAGTAAGGCATCTAAAAGATGTCTAAAAGACCTCTTTTAGACGTCTTATGTCTGGCTTTTGGACAAGTGTGCTGTATGGGCAATAACCTACATAACTAAAACTAAAATTATAATATATGTACGTGTAAACATAGTAAAACATAATAAATAAATTTGTGATTGATAATGACAAAAATATATTCAATAATAAACCTTTAACCTAGTAGACTATACAACACAAGACTAACATAACTCAGGTTTATTGAAATCTTATGCATTACAATTTTATATATAATGGGTCAATGGCTGTTAATTAAAACCTTATTTGTTCCAAATATAAATAAAATTTAAACTCAGGTTTGTTAAATGTTTATTAAATATTAATATGATCCATATATGCGCCTGGACAAATTAAATCTAATAGCAAGATCTTATTTAAATTTAATTTTAATCCATATTAGGAACATATTTGAATTTAATTACTTTTATTGGCATTTCTTATTATATTCTTAATTAGTTTTATATATAGAACGAATATGAACCATAATAATGCAGTGTTATTCAGTATTAATTTAAATCAAATAAAATTCAAAAATAAAGATTTTATTAAGATCCATATTAAATTCATATTTAACTGTTTTTCGCGGGGAACGCTTTTTAATTTATCATTAGATGTAAGGAGGTTCGTATAGTCAAGCATATAGACATTCGTTTGTTTTTCTAGTTTAGGAGATAGAAGAAATGATATACACTCTTGCTGAGCGTATTTATATAAATTATTGATTCATGTATGCGTGATATTTTAATTTGATAATAAAGAAATTAATTTTATATTAGCTAAAGATTTCATAAGTAAAGCATGTCGATATATAATAAAATTTGCTATACATTATACATTGAACACATTATTTTGGTTTACGACCAGGTTTCGAAGAAATTTATGAGTTGGTGTAACTATGATAAAAGAGAAGATGCGCAAAAGAAAATCTGTAATGGGGAAAAGAAATTTTATTATTAATGGTATTTAAAAAAAAAAACGGAAAATGAAAACGTAACACCCGATTTCGCTGAAAAAAACGTGAAAAATTAAGGAGCAATAATTTCGAACAAGAACATCGAAAAATGTAAATTACACCAACTGAAATCGTATTGATCAAGACTCAAGGAGGTATTTAATGAGTGGTTTTATAAGATGTTGAAGAAAACTAAATTGGCATTTAAAGGTTTATCAATTAAAAAATTGTACAGTAACATTAATAAATATTTTGTTTTTAATCAGTTGCATTCGAAATTACAGATTAAAATAGTAAAATTAAATCAATTTAAATAAAATGTTAAACAAGATAAATTTAATCGTTGAAAACAACACTGATAAATAAGTAATCTTACAACAATTGTAAAAGTCATTGTCAGACATCTATATTTAACATGTAATGAATACACTTTTTGTTGTATTTTCATACAATTTTAAATTTCAGATGCGGAATATCAAATGATAATTTTCCAGCAGTTGCGCGTATTCGAGCCGTTCATGGTTTTAGTCGAGATGTATGGATGAAATGTAGACACGAATGTGAATCAAATGAGATGAAGGAAGGGTAAATGAGAATAAAAAGAGAGTATCTCGGAAAAGAGAGCACGAGGATCCTCTGTGCCTCGGGCGGGAGAGATTTGCTTCACAGGGAGAAGAGATGATCGGTAGGGAGTGAGCAGTTGCCAGCAGATCGGTAGGACAGGCCTGAGGGTAGCGTAACGAAAACAGAGAAAAAGAGACGATGGAAGCTATTTGCTGGAAGGAGTAGGGAAGGCAAGAACAGACACTCTAAGAAGATGAAGAGCAAGGAAGAAGAAGAGGAGAGAGAGAAAGACTGGAGGAAAAGAGAGGAAAAGGAGGAAAGAGAGGGAGAGGGAGGGAGAGAGAGAGCGAGAGAGAGGAGGGTAGAGAGCGACAGGTGCGCAGGCACCCACGTGGGTTCTTTGAAACGTCGCGGATGGTGGAGGAGCGAAGAAGAAGAAGAAGACACCGATGACGACAACGACGAAGATGACGAAGAAGACGAGGAGGATTACCAGCCGGCTTCCTTGTGCCGGTCTGAACAAACCGGCACTCGCTCCACACTCAAGTTGCCCTCACGCCGAGTGCACGTGGTGGGGTAAATATCGCACTGGCGTAGAGTTTACTTTGCTGGGTAAATCACGTTTCTTTTCGCGATTACATGTGAATATTACATATGTTTACAAATGTAAATCAGTTACTTAAATGAAGAATTAAAAAACGTTATGAAGAAATTGCTGGTTTTTTTCACGCGTCTATTTCTCATATTTACTCTTACGGGACCAGTGTAGATTTCTCATATCTCATTCGGGACGTTGTTAACAGTGACTCGATCACATAACAGCAAATGCTGATCAAGAACGGAGAAATCCAGTCATGGCCGGTCGAATATCCCTAAGGCTATTTCTCGACTACGCCGATGAAACAGACCGCGGCGAGAGCTCGGTGTGGCGAGTGGGAAGGTAGTTTCAGGAGGGGAAGGGCTAACCATTCGGTAGCAAATGCTGGTAACCCGTCGCAAGGTCAAGATCAGTCGGTTAATCCCATCCAGTCGGCTGAGGACCTTGCACCTTGCACAACGAACAATTCTGTCTCTCCGTTTGCTCGCAATTCTCGCATACATATATGTGCTATCTCGCGCTTTAACATAATACGCGATAAATACGTAAATTAACGTGTAATTAACGAGTTATTGTCGCGGTAAGGCTTAGAAATTAAATAAGTCGTTTTTAAAGAATGTATTGTTTTATCCGACCTATGTTGAAATTTATCAACGATGAACCTTTTGTTTGACACGTGATACGCTATCTAAAAATCTAGTGTTCTACTGTACCGTGATAAATGTGTTTTGATTTTATCCCGCTAAAACGTTCTATCTTGGTATTACGGATGTACTTGAAATAATTATTCGCGAAGTGGAAGTATATATATATATATAAAAAAAAAAATATATATATATATATATATATACCGCTATAGTGTGGTAAATCTTTAAATTACTTTCCACGCGGGTCTCTGTTATGGAAACTTGTGTATTAATACCCAAAGAATTTTCCTTGGTCCTCACCAACGATCAGTCATCCTGCAAAAATCTCTTCAAGAATGATTCAAGTACGTTAAACGTAAGAATTTCGGTATGGTCGAATGTATTTATACCATCGGGGACCCTGATCTATCCGTTTCAAGGATCAATTAGGTTCGACAAGATCGACCTTTATTCCCTTCTTGATGACAATGATGTAAGTACGAGCATCGCATATTTCTTACAAATATTTTATATAATTTTATATAAAAGAACTTTATTTTTATTTAGTCTCCTAGAGTACGATTCAATATATCGTTTTATGGCATCAATAAAAAATATTGTATCTACATTTTTAGATAATAATCTTACAATTAGAATAGTATGCATAAAAAATATTTAAAAATTATTTATTCTGAAGATTAAATGTTATGCTCATATATTAATTTTAAATATAATCACCATCATTTTAAATATAAATTAAATTCTCTCTTTCTCTTTTTCTTTTTAAAAAGAAAATTGCTATATGATTTTCGAAAAAATTATAATTTCGCAAATATTACAATATTTTTTATTAGTGTTACCGATTTTAATCCTTGTACAGATATTGTATTTTATGGTCTTATCTTATGTATAGTCTTCTTAGCGTATATCTTATTTATTATAATATATTTTCTGTAAAAAAATACTTCTTTTAAAAAAATAAGCGGGAAATATATATTAGTTTTTAATATTGTCAAAGGAAAAGAGAAGAAGAGAAAAGAAAAGAGAATTTTTTCCCTCCCTTTTACCCAATTTATTGACTAAAATGTGATGAAAAAGAAGTTAATATATAGGTATGATAAAAATAAATAATTATGATAAAGACATTGAATAGTATGGAGGTTCGCACATTGGTTATATCATTTTAGGGTTATATCTTTCGCAAATTTAAATTCCTCGTAGATTTATAAGATGTATTCTGTATCAATAATATTAGATTATAAATTTAATATTCCTGTATGCATACAAATTTGATATGTTAATATTACATTTCCAATTTTGGCATAAAATTGCGTTTAAGATTGAATGACGATGAATTAGCACATAATTTAAAGGCGAAATACATAAAAATACATAAAAATTACAAAATAAATTTCTCACAAAAATTAGAGGAACACTTAATTTTTCTTAAAGAATAGGCAAAATTCAAGCAGCTGTAACTTCTTTAAAAATAAATTTAAGTTTAAAAAACGGATTTTAAAGCTTAAAATCTCCACCTTCGAAAAGTGACTATTATTTTTTAGTTTCTGTGAGTTTGGTAATTTTTACATAAAGAAAACTACAAGCTGGACAAAATGGAAAATTTTCTTCTCACTTTATGGGCCTGTCACGTGTACAAAAAAAATCTGCAAAAATTTTCGACTTTTTAACGTGAAAACTTAAAGTTTTCCCTACAAATTCCTTTTTTTTTAAATGTTTCTATGATTTTTTGTTGCTGAGTTATCGCAGATTGAATAAGAAATGAGCGACTTTGATTGCTCATAACTCCGTTAAAAATCATCGTACCGCAATTCAAAAAACAGATTCTTAAAGCTGAAACTTTGCTCTATCGAATGGTATAATTGCCAAATTTCTTTAAATAACATGTAGACATGATACAAATGGATGAAGATAATGTAAAAATTAGCAATTTTTCCCTTTTTCATTTTGACCCAGAAAACAATTGTGTAGAACAATACGAATTCTTTGTTTTTTGTACCCTACATTTAAAAAACATTACCGAATCGCTAGGAAACTTTTTTCATGGTGGCCACTATGGTTTTATGGGGCAAGACGTACAAAAAATTGTGAAATTGCTTATGGGGTATGTAAAATTGAATTTTTGGAAACTGTTAGGGGAACAAATAAATCTTACGCATTCTTTATACGTATTTTGAGTTGTAAAATCCGAAAATGCTTATAAAAATTACGTCTGCGGGGAAAACGTAGAAAATGGAAAAAAAGTGAAATCGCTTAACCTTGGAGTACCACACTAGGTATAGCGCACATTTGTTTGTTTTAAAAATAATGTTTTTACAATATAATGAAAGTTAGTGAATCGAAGTGATATGGTAAATAAACTTTTGTTTTCTCTCTACGATTCCCCATGCTGCGCAGCCTCATTTGTCGTTTAGTAGACGTATGGCTACACCCAATAAATAAAGGTGCTAAACACAGTGTAGAGTTCTAGGGTTAAACCTCCAGACGTAATTTTCTCACGTATTTTGAGACCTCCCAAATAGCTGGCTCAAGATTGTGTGACTCAAAATCGTAAGAAAACGAAAATTACGTCTAGAGGTTTAAACAATTTCACGTTTTTTCCCCGCTACAGACGTAATTTTTATAGCTTCAACTTCTTTCTCAAAATACATAAGAATACGTAAGATTTATTTGTTCCCTTAACAGCAAAACCTCAATTTTGCATACCCTTCTTAAGGGGGATGGTAACGTTTGAAATTTCAAAAAATTCAATTTTTGGTTTTTTACATATTCTAATAGTGTAATCTTTTAAGAATATTTCCCAGTTTGGTTTTTTGAGAATTAAATTGTGCTCAGGAAAGTTAAAAATGTAAATGCTGGCCGGCAAAGTGTCCAGGTGCAGGTTCGCCTTGTGCTACACTTTTCCCTCATGTCTGAAAAAGGCCAAAGCCGAAAAAATCTGATGTTCTGTGATTACTGCTGCAATGGAAGCTGACCTCGAGACGTCTTTTTATAGCGCGGATAACTTTTGAGCTTCGTACGTATCATTTTTCTAGCTAAAACTAGTATTCTACACTTTAACCGTTTTTCTCGAAATGGCATTTTTCGCTAGTTTTGCCACGATAACTCACGAACGTCTGCAGATATCGACTTGATTTTTTTTTTTAATGAAGAATAACGAATTTTCTCGTAAAACCTATTTTTGCGCACAAAGATTAATTTTTTGTAACTGTTTCAACAACAAATAACTTAAATCTTTAAAAATTTTTTCTTTTTTGGCTGCCATTGTTGTAATCTTGATGTACTTTTTTAGACTTTAGGTTCAGTCTATAGAGGGGGATCTTACCAACAAAATGGCACTAAAAAATTGAAAAATTCCAGTTCGTTTACCAGGAATCATGGCAAGAACAGAGCAGTGCGCAAATCGCGCGGTTGCCTTCAATCATCAAATTTATATTTTTGGGACTTTAACGTCTTGTTTAGTTCCTTAAGAAAGCACTAATAACATGCTTTAAAAGAAAATTATGTCCTATGTTTATTTATTTGTCCACAAACGACATTTGAATTTTACACAATTTACGGCCGTTTAAGGGTCCATATCCCTCAGTAGGTCCAAAAAAAGGTGATTTTTGTGAAATTTTTGTGGAGAAAGTAAACAAAATAAATCATTCAATATTTTTGGATTTTATTTATGATACTTTTAAGTAGTTATAAAAATTTTTTCAGCCCATTTGGCGGAGCGGGATATTGGGCAACGGCGACCTGTGCGCGGAATATGTTGCTCCATGGCGGAAGTCCTCCAGGTCGTAAAATGTTTCTGAAACATCGAATTAATCGATTTTCCTGTTCAGTACAAGTGTCCCTATAGAGTAGACTACAATCATATCAATATATGCAATATTTAATTTTTTTTAAGCAAAAAAGTATCGAAAATTTATAGTGAAAATTAATTTTTTTTTTGAACTGCCGCTATTTTATGAATTTTTATTCAAAATAATTTTTTTTAGTCTACTCTATAGGGACACTTATACTGAACAGGAAAATCGATTGATTCGATGTTTCAGACACATTTTACGACCTGGAGGACTCCCGCCATGGAGCAACATATTCCGCGCGTTGCCCAGTATCCCGCTTCGCCAAATTATTTAAATGGGCTAAAAAAATGTGTATAACTACTTAAAAGTATCATAAATATAATCCAAAAATATTGAATGATTTATTTTGTTCACTTTTTCCACAAAAAATTCACAAAAATCACCTATTTTTTAGACCTACTGAGGTATATGGACCCTTAAACCTTACCATTTCCCTTAAACAATTTCATAATTTTTTGTACGTTTTACCCCATAAAACCATAGTGGCCACCATGAACAAAATTTCATAGCTTTTCGGCAATTTTTTTTTTAAATACAGGGTACTTAAAAGTACAAAAAAATGTAAAAAAATAAATTTATGTTGTTGTTTTACACAACTGTTTTCTGAGTTAAAATAAAAAAAAGAAAAATCGCTAATTTTTACATTACTTTCATCCATTTGCATCATGTCGACATGTTATTTAAAAAAATTTTAAATTAGAAATTAAGCGTATGTTATACATAAGATTCGATAGTAACTAGTTGAAAGTTAAATAAAAAATTTAACTAGCTTAGTTAATTTAAAATAAGTTAAGGAGGGATTACCGTTTTGAGAGCCAAAAACGAGGCTTTTTTCTCGATTTTCTTTTTCAGAAACTATACAGCCAATTTATTCTAGGTTTTACACATATATTAACACACATTTTATGTATAATTCAGAATTTTTTAAAGTAGAAATAAGGAATGTTACGGAAGTTATACAATAATTTATAAATTATACAATAAGTTATACAAATATTTGCGCAAGATGTCCGAGCTCACAAGGTTCCCATAAAATCTGGACACTTAATAATATGGGACAGAAAATAAAACAGATTCTTAAGCTACACATGTTCGGTTATTGTTGGAACTAAAATTATTAAAATCATACTATTTCTTCAATTACTTTAAGGTATGTAAAATTTTTTTAATCTCCAAAGAATGGACAGTTTTACATTAAAAATAAAAAAAAATTAATGAATTTTTATTTCGTTACCTCCAATAATAGAGACTTCTTACAAATATGTCGCAAATATGTATAGTCACAGAGCAAAGCCGATCGGCTCATTAGTTTGTCTGAAATCGAGAACTAGTTTGAAATATGTCGTTTCGAGAAAAACGCTTTTAAAGTTTTAAATACAATTTAGTTATATGAATATTTCTAGTACTCACGTAAGTTTCAGTCTTATCGACGATTTCAGGTCCATATACATAGAAAGCCTTCTTTAACTTATGCAGTCTTAAACAAATGTAGCTAATAATCCTGCAGCATCGATATTTGCACCAATTTTCGGCGCTGGCGGGGCATAACTCGAGCTGCGAGCTGCAAGTCTTCGTCAGTTGAGCATAAATACTTAAGTGTAGCATTCATGGCATTTTTCATGCTTTCCACACTGTCCAAAATGTTTACTAACTGCTAGTCTATAATAACTTGTAAGCTTATTAATTAATCATTGTTAGCGCTCCTCTTAAATTTTTTTTTAATATTGAAAAATTTTTCAAAACCTTTGTCTAACGTTCGTAAGACCACTACAGTCGTATATGACGAAACTTTGAAAGGCCCATTTTGACCTGCGCGTTACTTCGAATAATAGGCTGGCTGTAACTTCCGTAATTTTCCGAATTTTTTATACAACTTTAGGAATTATAAATTCTTCAAAGTATGTATTTTTAAAAAATGCAAAAAAGAAAAAATAGATTTTTTGACCCTCGAGATTTCCCTTAATTTTTAATTTTAACTAGTTATTCTTAAAACACATAAACTTAAACTTATTAACTTTTTTCCTAAGTTAAAATTTTTTTTATCTCTAAACGCTATATCTTTGTATGTTATTTTGCACAACGGTCATCGGTATTTTATAATTATTTGTAGTTTGTTTTTATATGTAATTATCAAAAAATCGTGCAGGCATGACCAGTACAAAGTTTTTTTATCTATTATTAGTTTTTCACAACTGCAGTAGAAGAAAAAAATACATTTCTATATAAAAAACTGAATTTCTTTGTTATTTTAAATAAACATGATTTAAAAATAAAGTAATAAATTTATTTGATGATTTATATTATAATTGTTTTGTTATCTAAAGTAATCAAATTTTAAATAATTATGACATTCTAATTTAATCTAAATAATATTTATAAAATTAACTTTTAATTTAATTTAAATTAATTTAATCTTAACGCAATTTTTGATTGAGTCAGTTTTTTGTGTTTATGCAATGTAACTAAATTAATTTTGTAAACTAAATTAATTTTAATTAAGTTTAAAAAAAATTAACTTACCCAACTCTGGTTATACACATTTGGGTCACTATGTACTCATTGAAATAAATTGTTACGTATTACATATCAATGTGCATATCAACAATTGTTACATATCAATGTGTTATCGAAAAAGAATTCGACATCAACGCACGTATCGTCGATATGCTTTTAGATCAGACGCGAATACGGCTGCTATGATGAAGTCTTCTTCTCCAATTACAATCTTAACAAGCGTCAATGCAATTGGATAAGATTTCTTCGTATCGTCCACTCGTACAATGAACAAGTCAATCTGATTGGTACAAAAGTAAAGGGTAAGTCGAAAGCAACATACGTTTTTTAATAAAAACAAGATACATACGCTTGATAACAGCAAAGCAAAGAAATTTTAGATGTTAGTTTAAAATTAAAATTTATTAAACATATTTATATATTAAGAGACACGGTAGTGTCTCGCGCCAACTACGCGCGGAGCGAGACCGACCGTGATGTGTTTGATGATGATGTGATGTGACTTATTTACGCGACGCGACGAGTACTCGAGATGTTGAGATCTCAATAACGAGTGAACGGCTCAAGTTCTAAGTAGGCTTGATCGATAGCTTGGGGTCGATTTATATAATAAAAGTGTTTTTATTTTTCCCTTATGTGCCCTACGAGCGAAGATATTGCGACGCAAAGTACAAATGTGAAAATTTAAATTAAGATACGTCGTTAAGATACGTCGCCGTTTCTCAATCAGAGAAACGTAACTTTCACTACTTTCAACGGTAGATGGCTCTTGATTTCCGATAAGTCGCGCGCGCATTATCGATCTAGTAGGTAAATTAGGTCGATATAGACTTATCGGCCAGAAGATTATTTATTACGCGGCTGAATGAGTTTTTAATATATGTATGTACGTGTGCGCTCAGCGCGTTCAACGCACTCAGTAGTTATAACCTAGAAATGAATAGTGACAGTCGCTAAATAGTGATAGTAATCATCAACAATATACATTTGACCGCAGGAAGCTGACGCCGAGAAGATGTTGAAGAAGGAAGATATATCCAAAATTGCACACGTACGTACATATATATGCTGTCTTGTAAAAGTTAAAGAGAACGAGAAAGTGACCTGTAGCGCAATTTATATTGTAGGCAAGTTAATTATGCTAAAATATTAGTTAAATCAAGTCCATTATTATGATAGACGTTGATTTTATACCTTGATGGTGTCTGGAAATATTAATTATTCACGAAATTAGCAATAACAATTAACAAAATAAATTTTGGTAAATATGAAGTATAGGCACCCTATCCAATTTCTTTGAAATTTTCAAATTTTGCACCTATTTTGTGTAGTAAAAGAGATTCTGAGAATAAAAATCATCGCTCATGTTCCGTTTGTTTCTATAATTAACCCTTCGTGTGTAACATCGGGTCACTCGTGCGAAAGTGACTGTCCCCTGTAGCTCGAAGGGAGGGGGGGGGGCGGGACCAAACTATACTGAAAAAAATTGTATACTACTAAGCTACTAGCTCCCCAAGTGCCGACGGTCTAGTGCGTAAACAGCCGTTGTGAGTGCCAGACGAAATTTTGAAAGTGCACGAGTGACCCGACATTACACGTTACGTTGATTAAAAATAGCAGGTGAGTAAAATGTTTATTTTAATTTGGATGTTTTTTTTACTAAAAATTCATGTTCTTTTATTATTGGGAATTGATAGATTAATTTCAGTTATCGATAAATAATATGTTTTGACAATAATTTAGCACAATAATTTAGCCTTGATATAATTTTTTCATATTTTTGTACTTTTTTATAATTTTGTAATAAATAATTGTGATTGATTACATTTTCATGAATAAAATTGATTAAAAATGAATAAAATGTGTATTTTACTGTAATTTGTACCTATTTACGTACTTTCAAAAAACGTGATTTTGATGCTCAAAACTTAAGCATTCCATTAATTTATACATACTTCTAATATTTTTTTCTTTAAAGTACTATTCTTAAACTTTAATTTCTTTTTTTTTTTAATGTATTAATTTTTGCCAAAGTTACGATTTTTTGAAAAAAATGGTCCATTCTTCACGTTTTTATTTGTTTATATAAATATATTGTTTAAACAAATGAAAAAATCGGCAATATAGCGATTGATCCTTAAAGTAGGATAGTTAATAAGGTAACATAAATTTTTTCAGATTTTTTTAGAACACTTTAAAGTATTTTTTAGGCATCGGACACGAGTGACCCGACGTTACCCGTTACAGGTGCCGAAAAAGACGTTACACACGAAGGGTTAATACTTAAGGTTGTATGACCCGTAAGATCTCTGCCAAAAGTTTAAGAAACGTAACATAAAGCTAATTAACATATTTAAGAAGATATTCTTTACTGGAAACTAATATTTATATTAATATTTTATTAAAATAACGGTTGCCTGTGTTTTTAAGAGCTATAGAAACATTTTTATGCATATTTTCTCGTATGCAAACTTTCACTTTTAATGATTTTTAGAAAAACTGTACCTGACTTGCAACTGACACAAACGAAAATCTGAAAGTGTGAAAATCTTTAAAAAGTAACAAAACATAGTAATTACTGTTTAAAAATACTAATGAAATTATATAACGTTATTTATTTACGTCATTTATTAATAAATTAAATACAATAGCTCTCATAAAAAAGTATTTTGATCGCAACAACGTCGCATTTTCTGTAAGTTGGTAGCATTGATCTCACTCGACATCAACTGCGTGAACGCGAAGGAGCACGTGTAATATACAGACACAACGTTTGAGGTTAGTTTTCGCTTGCGCTACGAAAATGCCGAAAGTAAAACGTTACATGTGGAAAGGAAAAATTGTCACTGAAAAAGTGTACAATCAACGGTTAGCACAGACAAATACTGGGAAACGTAATTTGAAGACACGAGTTGAAACCACACCAGATGATTGTAACAATTCCATGGCACATGTAACGTTTTACTTTTGGCATTTTCGTAGCGCAAGCGAAAACTAACCTCAAACGATGCGTCTGTATATTACACGTGCTCAGAGCACACTTTCGATACACAGGAGGCTCTATTGGAAAAAGTAACAGACTTCTGTAGTATTTGTTATCCTTTACGGAGAGTGACGGAGAGAGAGGTTCTAATGTGACGTCATAGTGCGTTGTTGCCGGATCTCTGTACTTACGAGTTCAGCGAGACCAAGCGAGACTGTTCTCTGTTTGGTTTTTATTCAATATTTCAGAAAATATCCTCGAAGTCATAATTTTTTTGGTTCTAATTTGTTTGTAAGATGTTTATTAATATTTCTGCAAAGTTTTAAAAGTATGCCATATTTTCTTCGATATTAATTTCTCAAATGAAGTTGAAAAAACAGTGAAATTTGATGAATTCCCATAAAAGCCCATATTAAATTCAAATTGTTATAACTTTTGAACGAACCTCGCAAACTTGTTCAAACTTGGCACAATGCTTTATTATTATAATACTCATCACCTGACAAAGTTTGAAGAATTTGGTATTTTTTCTTCTAAGGGGTCATACAACCTTAAAACATCATAATGTCAATAAGTAAGGTGTTCGAATTAAGCGCGTTCTCGAAAAAATCGACTCGCCAGTAATATTGATAGCGACTCGGCAACCGCGGCGCCGGAAGCTAAGGGCGCGCTACCGATCGTCAAATGTTGTCACCGGTCCGCGCTTGCGACGCGACGAGCCGCGTTCTGCGTCATTTGCTCAAGGTCCGCGACACCGAAAGCACGTTTCGAGTTCGTTGTTCTTTTGCTTGTTTTGCTAGAATTGGTCGTAAAAGCATGATCCCGATAAAGTACGGTCGAGTGAGATCGTTCGGTTGTATCAATTAATAGTGCGAAGCGTGATTCTGAATATACTAACAGATATTCTGCTCGGAAAATGTCGAAAAAAGCTGCGCCATTGCACAATTACTTTCGAGGTACCGGCCTCGCGCCCACGTTACCACGAGTGGTATGATCCTCAAGATCACGACCGGATTGAATGCTGCGTGCGTGCGATTTCCGTGCTTATCAGAGAGAGAGAGAGAGAGAGAGAGAGAGAGAGAGAGAGAGAG